TTTGGGTTGAATTTGGTAATGACAATCAAGGATTTGTTGGCATTTTTGGGGGTTGGGGGTGGGTGAGACGTCCAGTAGAGTGGCCAGTTGGAGATTTGGGGGTCTGATTTGATTGTCATGATTGTATCGGTCAGAGAGTATTAATTATTGCTTATGCCAGTTGTCAAAGATAGCTTTGTTGGTAGTTGTACATACCTAGGTAGGTGAGGTTGGGGGTTAGTTGTTAGAGCCGGCGGTAAAGTTGGTGGTTGCTTGGGGGAGTGTGGATGGGTGTGTGGGTGTCAAACAAGTAACAAGGAACTAGGGGAGGCCAGGGGCGTACCTAGGGGAGCCGAAGGGGGGAAGGGCGGAGGGCGGAGTGACCCTGTGGGCTGCACAAATAGGTACTAACCAACTCGCCTAGGTAGCCAAGTAGCATCGTACTGTGCAAGAACAGTCCCTCGTACGAGGTACAGGTATCACCCCCCCTTTTCCTCTCCTCCAACTTAGGCTGTAACTTGGTTAAACTAGGCGAGCCAGTAACTGGCAATGAACTCATCACGTTGGGGCCCGAGTGCTCCCTGGGACGCGTACGAGTATCACCATCCATGATAAAAATATGTGATAACGGCCTCCGTAATGACCCAAAACAGGAGATACAGAATTTACGGAATTCCAGTTCTGATACACTTGACTTACGATACAGAAATTTTGGTAGGTGGATAGGTATGTTTCCCGAAGAAGAAAGTGGTGGAAGTTCATTGCATGAGAGAGACGATGATGATCAACGGACAAGATGCGATATGCCCTGTAGTTGCTTCTAGGGGAGAGAATAGGAAGGCCTCGACTCTAGGGGCTTTGGCAGGGCGGCACTGGGGGACCATGGGAATCACTGTGAATCGGATTCAGGGCAATGATGTCACTGCCCACATTCCGAGTTTCTCACTTCTCACCTTCAGGTTCTTCGCACTGCACTTGAACCTCGCCTTCTTCAACGCCTCTTCATATGAGAAACGCTGTGTCAAAGAATGTAGATGGGAGTCATTGTGTGACTCAACCATCCAAACTCTCTACTTGCCACAGCCCATCAATGACTCAATTGACGTTCTATACAGCCACCACCACCACGTCTATCAAAGGTAAAGAAGAGGGACTGTGATCTCGAGTCTGCCGCTGTGGCATCACTTGATCACTTTCCCTTCCTCCTTCGCTTCTGTTTTCCTTCTCATACTTTCTCATTTCTCCGATCTACAACTAGACTCGTTACTATCGGTGTCCATCCCCCTCCCACCCTTTCATCCGCCACCCCTGATCAGATTCGGAACTTTATCATCCGCCTTCTGTGCCTCACATCCCAATAGCCAGCCCAGAACTTGGTCTGCCGACCACCTCCGCCGACCTGCAAGCGGTCCATCATCTGGCCGACCAAAAACCGAAATCAAGGAACCTTTGTTGATGAATGAACGGCATCGTCTTGCCAACTCATCAATCATCATGTCACTTGACGACGCCAGCCTCAGTAAGCCTGCAGCTCTTTTGTTGCCTTGTTCAGTTTCGCCCTGCCTGGCGAGCTGGTTACGCGGGCTAAAACCCGTTCGCCACCGTTCAACTCGCCCCCATCCCGTTCCTCGACCCCCTCAAGGCGCCTCCGCGTCGAATCCCTTTCTGGCTTCAAGTGATGGGGACCCTGATGGTCCAGCCGATGAAACACTGCCCGTCGGTCATCTGACTGCTGAGTTGTTACCCCAGTTGCTGATCGCTTGCGCATTGCGCCCAACATCCAGGCACCAGCCGTGTCAGCACCCAAATTGAGCATCAACCACATCCTCGAATTTCACCACCAATCACTGCTACACCGGCTCAATCACAGCCCAGGGTATGTCGCTTTTTCAATACAAACAAAGGTAATCCGTCTTCTGTCTTTTACCACCTAATTTTGTCATTGGTCCATCCCGTGTAATCAATTCCTCCAGTAGCCTAAATGGAAATATGCACGGCATTCAGTCTCATGCCTGGCTGACCCTCAGCTGCTGCGCACATCACTGGCCGTTGCGTGCACTCACAATCTTGGCCTTGTTTATCATACCAATGACTTCCACGTGATAGAGCAGCTAATCACTGTGCTAGGTTGTCGTGCTGGCTCGCAATGCCCGTTCAAACATCTTCAGCCTAAAGACGGAGTCACAAGCACTAAATCGAAACCTGACCAGCAACAACCAGACACTGCGCAAGGCCCATCGGCCGTGCAAGGACGCCAGCCTCTGTCTCACCCATCCAGGGCGTTGCTCTCTGGCCCTGGTGCAAGTCAGAAGCCCCAATCCCAACTTCAGCAGCGCGATCCGCGCGAATTCGAGCTGGGTCAAGTGATTAAGAGGTTTCGTCCAGCTCGGAGAGAGACCAATGGGGGCACAATCTTGTCCTTTGCGCTGGCTCCGTCGGACCCTGACTTTCCATTCGAGCTGCAAGGTGGTCTCCGTTGCCAACTGACAGTGCCTCGCACCTATCCTCAAAATGGCAAACCGGCAATCAGAGTCACAAATGCCGAAATGGCTCGGGGATTTCAGATCAACGTCGAAAAGGGGTTCGACAGCCTTGTCGAAGCCTCGCCGAACAAGACGCTACTAGCATGGTTGAACGAGCTGGACAAGAACCTGGAGAGGTTCCTGACATCCGAAAAGGCGCAGACCATCAAGATCATTGCCAATGCCGACAAAAATCCCAGACTCCCTGATCCTGTGCCGGCCGTGGTTCGCCCTGCCTCACCACCGCCTATACGCGCGGCACCACGCCCACCAGTCTGGACAGCTGAGCAGAGGTCCAGCGCCTTCTCAAAGAGAGAAGCTGATGTTCGTCAGCTAGAAGCACGCATGGGACGGCTTCCACACTACTCTAAAAGTTCTGATGGTACAAAATTCAACATTCCTATCCAAATAGCCCGATCCGAGCGGCTCCCACCCAGCCTACAATCGCTCAAGGAGGTCACTCTGATTGTCCCGAAGCTTTATAACCTTGAGCCTTGCACTGTCCTTCTGAACGGAGTCAGTGGCCCAGAGGCTGAGACTGTCCAGCTGGCCTTTGAAAGACATGTCCGGAAGAAACTCGACATGACCCTCATGGCTCATATAAATTACCTGACACAGAATATTCATTCCATGGCTTTGGAATCGGTAGAGAGCGCGGCTCCAGTGGCTTCATCAGATGTTCCACTTCCACCAGAGCCTCCTGTCGACGATGAACAAGGGGTTTCTTCGAAAAGGGAAGCCTCTGTAGAACCCAGAGAGCTGATCATGGACGAGGATAGGCCACATGTGAAATTCATCCCTCGACCCCCTGAATGGGATCGACAAGACTCCGATTCAGATTCTGATTCATCCTACAACTCTGATGAATATTCAGCTTCTGAGGATGAGGATGAAGACGGGGAGTCAGAAAATGAACAAGGCGGCGCCATGCTGCCAGTCTCCTCGACCTCGACAGAAAAGGGAATTCACATTTCGTTCCCAAATTTGGAGCTCCACAACATTGAACTGTTGAGCTTATCCTCCCTGTCACTTTCGGTCAAATGCCTGCGCTGTAAAGCACCCCTCGACATACCGAACATCAAACCCAACATTGACATAGCCGGTTCTTCCATGTCGAGTATACGCACGGAAACCTGCTCGAAGTGCACTACACCATTCACAGTCTCCTATACACCTAATGCCCTGCACGCCAACAGCGTCCGTGCTGGCACGATTGAGGTCACAGGATGTACCATCACCGACCTCCTCCCGTCGGTCTTCCAACCCACCTGCGCGTCGTGCTCTACGACATTCCCCGCCCCTCCGGGTATGGTGTCGGTACGTGGCGACACTCCGATCCAAGTATGCCGCGCATGTCATGCCAAAATGACCTTTACGATCCACGAGGTCAAGTTCCTGCGTGCGTCCTCGGCATTTGCCTCGGGCGCGCTGCCACCCCGGCGGCCGAAGAAAGAAAACCTAGGCATCTCGGCCGGCACACCTCTACCAAGCAACGGCACCTGCGCACACTACCGCCACAGCTACCGATGGTTCCGCTTCAGCTGCTGCCAGCGCGTGTACCCGTGCGACCGATGCCACGATGCGGCCGAGGCGCACGTCAACGAGCACGCCGACCGCATGGTCTGCGGCTGGTGTTCGCGCGAGCAGCGGTTCCGGAGCGAGGACTGCGGTGTGTGCGGGAGGAGCGTCATCCGGCGACGCAAGGCCGCCGGCGGCTTCTGGGAAGGCGGCAAGGGGACTAGGGAGAAGGGCCTGATGAGCCGCAAGGAGAAGAGGAAATACAAACGGCCCAGAGGCAGCGCGGTGGGATCCGCCTCGACTGCAACCAAGAAGGACGGTACAAAGTAGCATGCAAAGCAGCAAAATAGTCTTGTCCCTCATTGCCCCCTTTTTCGAGAAGGAGGCTCTAGCTAGCCCACCCTGATTGACTGAATGACGTTCAGCCCGTCGTTTGTGAGAAGGACCATGACCACGTTGATTCTTCACGGAGGCCTCGACTTCATACACACACACACACACACACAGAACAGGATGTGATAAAACACGAGGCATAAGACAATACAATAACAATGATAATGATAATGCGAAAAGTCTACGCCAGTTGTTCTTCTCTCTACCTGTAGGGAGGTACCTAGATACTCAGGTATCATGTCATGGAGATAATCTATCTACCTACCTGCCTAGGTACCGATGCGAGTGTGTGAGCATGTAGGTATGTAGGTATGGTATGGTATGTGTATATCTATGTATATATGTATGTATGTTCGTACGTACATATGTGCATCGACGAGCGATGACTAAACTCCTATGCGCCCCGTGCGCCCGTGCGCTTATGCAGTCGGTACTAGGTATTCAACGCCCCCCCCCCCCCCCCCCCCGACGAGCGATGACTAAACTCCTATGCGCCCCGTGCGCCCGTGCGCTTATGCAGTCGGTACTAGGTATTCAACGCCCCCCCCCCCCCCTCTCGTTGTTCGTGCGTGTTCGTGCCTGACTTACTTACTCCGGACATATCAAATCGCCAAAGTGCCATGATCCGGACCCAGACCCAGACCCAGACGTCCCGCCAGCCTTGTTCCTTTCTCCCTGTGACTCGTGTGGTTGTCGATGTTTCTGCCGTGACATCGACGCAGATGAATCAATGTCACTCTCTTTTTCCGAGTTGGTCGCTTGGTTCCGTTCTCGTTCCCATTCTCGTTCTTCACGGCAGTCATCACCATCACCACGACCAGCGGGACGAAGTCTCGTCCACACTTTGCGTGCGCCCTTGTCACAAGCACGGTCGAACCAGAGAAAACTCCGCATGAGGTCGCGGAAATGGGTGAATTGGCGGCGAAGGCTGTCGATACCCATTACCGTGGTGGACCAGGACGCCACGAGATCGAGGAAGAAGGGTTCATCCGTAGTGGTCTGGGACGCGAGAGCGCCTAGGACGGCGAGCCATAGGAGGAATGCCGATGGAGGATGAGAGGGAGGAGGAACAGAACACTGTCCGTCGGTGGTGGCGGTGGTGGTGGTAGTAGAGTAATGTGTGGGATATCTGCTATATTTGCCACTTCCATCGTGCGAAGCGGGTGTTGGTGCTTCAATGTTGATCTTTGGCGTCAAAGAAGTGTGAAGTAGAAAGTCCTTCAATGCATTCCTCAACTGAGCGACCAGCATGCGCAACGGTCTCGGTCGGGCAACCGGGTATATGACGCCGTAGCTGAAAATCATGGCTCCGAGACGACAGAGTTCCTCCTCGCGGTTCTCGTAGCGGGGCAGACGCAGGAGTCGGTACTGGATGAGGTTGCGGTAGACGTTTGTTTCCCAGGCCACTGACGCGGGCACGGGGTTGTCGGGGTCGGGACCACCACCAGCCTCGGAAAGATTGGATCCGGCGGTGGTGGTGGTGGTGGCAACGACCCTATCTAGCTCCCGACAGTACATTCTCATGTCGAGGAGTAGATCCTTGAACTCGGCATCGGCAATGGCTGGGAAAGCCTCGTCGAGTCTCTCCCGCGGTGGGCGAATCAACTTGACGTGGTTGTCTAGGACATGCTGGTACAGGCGGCAGAGGGTGAAATATGGGCGGCGGATCGACAAGCTTGCCTGGAGAAGGTCGGTCGACTGGATCTGCTCGGCGATACCGGGCATCGTGACGCCTTGTAAACCTCCTCGCGCAGCCACTAGTGCAATGGTCGCTCGGATGTGGGACGGCGTCCAGCGAAAGTGGGAGAAATATTGTATCCACCCGAGCGATCGCAGCGGAGGATCGAATCCCCCGAAGCAGTCTTCTCCCGCGCCCTCCTGCACGGCGACATGTGGGTTAGTGTCGCGGATCGTGAGAGCGAGGACTCCAAAGATCACCGAGTCCGACACTTCGTTCCGCGCGATGTGCTCCCGGATACCCTGGACGGCCTTGTTCTGGCAGGTGAACATGACCGTTTCGTTGTCAATGGCGGTATGAGGCAGGTGCATCGACATTGCCATCGCGGCTGTCCATATGAATGAATTGAGCAGCAGCTCGTCGACCAGGCTGAGATGGAGGAAGGCTGAGGTCAAGGACTCGTTGGTCTCGAGGCTGTGATGCTTGAACGACGGCCAAAGAGTTTTGACAGTGTAGTCGTATACTCTCCGTACCTTGGGATTCGCCAGCAGCGCCGTACATGCGGGTTCTGAAGAGGAGATTCGACAAAGCACTGGCTGAGGGCTCAATGTGACCTGATGGCGGGCAACATTGTGGAACGAATCATCTCGCTTAGATTGCATCTGATTGACTTTTATTTCCGGATCTGCTGCAGGTACAACTTCCTTAGGTGCGAGTGGAACGAGTGTTTGCGGGCTGCAAGTCGCTGACGCCTGTTCGGCCGCTCGTTCAGCTGCTCTTCGGAGGCCTGGAAGCACAGCAGTTTGTCAGGCAACTGCATGATCGTTGGGCAGATTTCCTCAACATACGATAAGTCCGTTGATTCAGACGATTTTGAATTCTTCTCCTAATTCTTGCATCCGACAGGCCGGTCCAGTCGTCCTCCTCCCTCCTTGCCGCCGTCGGCAGTCTCCGTTCGAAGACAATTCGTGACGGTTGGACATGCATCGCGTCTTTCATTTCGTATGTTCCTTCTGCTCGAAGCACTGTCCATTTTGCGAGAGAATTCTTGTCAGCTTGTGGCGTCCCCAGGACAACACTTCAAACCCAGGGCAAGAACTGCGCAGAGCACTAAAACCTTCTCGTCATGCTGACTCGCAACTTTGTCAGTTGATGTGGAGCTGATATGCAGGCAGCTTACCTCTGAAGAGCCAATCAACATGGACATGATTTCTCCAGCTCCACCTACAGCCTTGCATGATTCGGCTTTGTTAAACTCCTGTCGATCGTGGGTCAGACGATTGGGGCTTCCCCCATATCGACATGAACGGGGCGAACACGGCTGATACAAGACAAACCGCCTCTCTCATCCAAGGCGGAGGCTCTGAGAACATCTCAATATGATATCGAGCGGAAACCTGAGGCACTGCCAACAGCACGAACAACGGCGCCTTCGGTAGGAGAAGATCAAGGCTGTGTCTGCCGCTGGACTTGTCATCTCCCACAGGATGATCCCCAGATAGTGAAGACTCATAGACCTTTCCTCTACGAGAACCGAAGTCAAGCGAAATAATTCCAATGCAGACAAGGCCACTTTGATGACGTTCAACAGCTTTTGATTTTTCTATCCGATCTGCCGACGGGTATCATTTTGTACATTCTTTCGAATCATATCTTCATGCAGGTCTTTTGCATAAACGCCGTGAAATGCTGACGCGCTGCTGCTGCTGCTGCTGCTTGAACACATCTAAAAATCGTTATCATCGTTCCCCGCCACAATCACATTGTTGATTTTCAGGACCTATTGGACATTCGTGAGCTATATAGATCACATGGCAGGACGACCGCACTTACCATTCGACATAACTGTGTTGCAAGGAGCAACTGCTGCCGTTTTCCAATCAGGGGGTCGATGACAAAGTTGGCACGCATATCTTGCACAAGTCAGCACAGGCCGAAGACCAGCAAAGTAATGTCACATACCATTGTTTCCCGTTCCCATGCAATCAACACCCAGCCGAGAGTTTTGTTCTTTGATCTGCCGCGACTTCACCGCGGCCAATGTCTCAATTGGACTCAGACCAGAATTCTCTGCCAGTGCCATCGGAATTGCATCCAAGGCGTCGGCAAACGCTCTCATGGCATACTGTTCCAGACCCGGTGATTTCGAGGCCGCATCCTCGACAGCGATGGAACAAGCAATCTCAGCCGCACCGCCACCATAGACGACTCGGTTGTCTCTAACTAGATTACGAACAACACAGAGAGCGTCATGGAGTGATCGCTTCGCTTCGTCGATGATCATCTTGTTGCTGCCCCTCACGAAGACTGTGACCGCTCGCGTATTGGCGCACTCCTCGATCACCAACATCTTTTCTCGGGTGGTACCAAATGTCATTTCCCGAACAATACCAGCCGTGCCTAGCTTCTCGCTGCTCAAGTCCTCGAATCGCGGCACGATTCGACCGTTGGTGGCAATTGCAATCAGCTCGATCTCGGGTCCGCCAACCCAGCGTACAGCTGGAAGCTTGTTCTGAAGAAGCAGGTGGTTTGCCTCATCATCGAAACCCCACTGGCAGATGACGAGATTTGCTCCCGTAGCTTTGATCATATCAATCATCTCCACAAATTTATTCTTTTCGTATTGTTGTAGCTTCTTGAATTCTTCGACCGTAGATATGTCGAGTTTGTGCTTCGTTTTCGGCTTGGGGGGTTCGAAGGCACACGTCAGGATCGCCAGTTTGGCGTCCCTCACCTCGCTTGGCATTTGTGGATGAGAAAAGTCCTTGTCAATGATGACTCCTTTTACCAGCAGAGAGTCTTCGATCGAACCGCCCGCTTTGCCGTCGACCTTGATGAGCTCGAAATCGACATCTTTGCGGTCGAGGTCGGCAACAGACATGACGGCATCGACAGCAATCCTCGCGAACTGGTCGTGAGACTTGCTGACGATCTTGCTTCCAAGACTCGTTTTGGCAACCTTGATCAGATTTTCCTGCTTCTCGCGACTGAAGGCAATCTCGTCACTGATCCTGTCCAGATGTGCCACGGCAACCTCACAAGCCTGGTCGAAACCGTCTGCAATCCGAATGGGATGGATGCCTTTATCGATGAGGTCTGCGGCTTGATCGAGGAGAGCAGCAGCCAGAACGACGACGCCCGTGGTACCATCACCAATTTCTTCATCTTGTGATTTTGAAAGTTCAACCATGAGTTTAGCAATGGGGTGTGTTATTTCCATCTCCGACATGATTGTGCGACCATCGTTCGATATCTGAATGTCCCCGTCTGGAGATATGAGGATCTTATCGAGACCTCGTGGCCCCAACGAGGTTCTCACAATATTGGCGATCGTGCGAGCGGCAACGATGTGTTGCTTGACTGCTTCTATGCCATGTGTTCTCTTCTTCTTTCCCTGGTCTCGGACCACAATGAAAGGCCTTCCGGTCTCATCTTTCAGAATTTGTGCCTGAGATAGATCCAGTTGCATCGCCATGGTGAAGATATCTCGGTCTAACCAGACTCGCTCGCCTCTTCAGTCTTCGTCGCGAATTTCTGTTGATTCAACGTGGGCGTAAATATGGCGTGAGTTGGTCGATGCCTAGTGGCTGCGTAGAGGTTGGCGCAGACGGATCGATGTAAAAGGGCGTTCGTTCCTAGGTCGTTGGGTCTCAAATATTACCCCTGAGAGAACCTGAAGTCGGATAAGATGTTGACAATCCAATGTGCGTGTCCCCAAGTGATAGTTAACTGCCCGCAGATCTGGTTCACGAGTGGTAAAGCGAACATCTCAAAATTTTGGAGACCCTCGTGTCCCGCTGCTTTTGCGCCCCGAGCCAAGATGCACATCCCCTTGCCACGAACGGTTGACGCCGCCCTAATCCTGTTTCGAACTGTGAACTTCATGCCAGAATGCTTGAAGGTTACACCATCAGTAGTTCTTAATACATTCCGGCGCTCGGCTCGGCAGTCTCTTGCTCTAAAATTCTGTGTTTTCAAAGCATCTCTCTGACCATATACGAGTCCTCCTGAGCACTAGGGCGCCACGGGCACCAGTCATTCAATGTGGTCCAAAGTGCAGTAGCGGTTGAATCAACACTGGCCAGGATATGGAGCAGAGATTCGGCCTTGCATTCCTGCTAGGTGAGACCATGAGTGACATGTTAGCCCAACAGATCTTCCACCTTGTCGGCATCAAGTCCGAATCACTCGGCCACCGCCGTGTGCGCCACGCCAACAATAGCCGAACTCGAGCTCGCCAACGTATACCCGAACTGCCTGGAAATGCATGTCTCCGTCTAGAGATCTGGCCAGCGTCGCATGCGTTCGTCGTTGAGACAGGTGAATGAATGCCCAGACATTTGGTGCTGCACCGAGAGCTTCGACGCCAACGTCAACGGTGGACTGCCTGCAGATAGAGCCGACCTTTGTTGAGCTAGATGCCCTATTAACTGTGCTCCTGACCCCGTCACGCATCTGCTGCGTGACGTGGGTTTCACAAAAGCCGAGTCGAGGGGAAATGCTACTCAATCCCAATCATTTCGAGGGAGAATTGATGACACTATCGTGTTGCGGCCTCTCGGGGAAATTTACATAGTTGAGCTTAATGGACTATGCAGGGCAGACGTTGAGAGAAACTCCGACACAATGACGGCTACGAAGTGTGGATTCGTTGTTTTGTATGAGGGTTTGGGCTGGATTGTATGGAGATTGATACCCTTTGTTTCTCATCCACCACTGCCACTTGATTAAAGCAGCGTTTGTGAACAGGGACGACAAGTTCCAATACAGTGAACGCCAAGATAAACCGCTAGCGCCAGATTAAAGCAGCGGACCGGGGACGGATTTCCCATGTGAGGTCCGCAGTCGCTTTCTCCGCGTCGCGATATTGTCCCTCTCCCGTCTGGAGTAAGTCGTTGTGAAAGCTGGTGCCACTCTACATCTCAATCCTGTCGCGTCGCAAGTTTGTGCTAGAACTGTCATCCAACTGTGCGCGCTCTATCCACAGCTTGCAGCAGTTCAAAATGCCTCAAGGATTCGGTAGGTTGGATCATTGTCGACTCCACTTCGTCCTCAGCTTCACCTCCCGGGCAAGTGGTTTGTCGCGCGCACAGCCTTGACCAATGACTGACCGGTCGCGCAGAAGATATTGGAGATGCAGACGACATCTTTCACGACCCAGAGCCGGACGCCGACTCCGCGGCGAAGAGACAAGTCAATGGAGATTTGAAAGACAAGGCTGATGGAGAGGAAGAGAGTCCTCACAACGACGACAATGATGAGGAGGGGGCGCCAGAGGCTCCTAAAGGCAAGGCTCGGGCTTCAGAGGATGATACGACAGGCAGGGCCAAAGAAGACGACGACGACTCCGAAGACGACGACTCGGAAAGCATTGAAGAAGAAGCCATGTACAACGTCGAGACGATTCGAAATCACAAATTCCAAAAAGGCCAGGTGTTCTACTTGATCAAATGGCAAGGCTATAGTGAAAAAGAAAATACCTGGGAACCTGAAGAGCATTTATTACCGTATGTCTGACCAATGCCTCTATCTTGTTCGGCAGAGCGTTGCGATCGTGACTGCGACCACGGCTAACACAATCCCCCCCTTTTTTTTCTAGACATGCTCGCCAGCTCCTCGCAGACTACCACGAAAAGATTGGCGGACGTCCAACTCCATCTGT